GGTCGGTCGGTCAGTTAGTTAGTTAGTTGGTCGGTCGGTCGGTCAGTTAGTTAGTTAGTTGGTTGGTTGGTTGGTCGGTCAGTTAGTTAGTTAGTTAGTTAGTTAGTTAGTTAGATGGTTAGTCGTTCTACAGGCTCTGAGGCGTAAAATAAAACTTAAGCTGAGTTTTCACCTGCAGCCAGGTGTTCTCCAGGTGTTCTGTAGGGGTTCTGTAGGTGTTCAGGACCTGATTACCTGCAGAACACCTGCAGAACACCTGCAGAACACCTGGAGAACCTGCAGAACACAGTGAAGTTGTTTCAGAGTTCAGAACCGAACAGTTCGGTTCTTCCTTCAGCACTCTGACGGTAAACGGGTCGGACCGGTCACGTCGACCTGAACCGAAGTTCCCGCTGATTCAAACGGGATCAAACGAGAAGTGAGCTGTAATCTCGCGGTGTTTGACTCCTCCCCCTCCTCTCTCTCTCCGGAGCTCCGGGACGATCAAGCGGCTGGTCTGACGGAGTCCGGCGGGTCAGCACAAGCAGCCCGCGGACCGAACAGGTCGCTCCAACAGAACTTGAGTTGGTTCTGAAGAGAAGCTGATCAGAGCGGCAGCTGGACCCGAACCGAGCCGGACTTTATTCTTTTTTTTATTGTTAATTATTTTTAAAATCACTGAAAGGATCAGAGCTGCACCTGGACGAGTTCTGATGGGCTTTTCTCTTCTTTTGGATCAGAACCACCTGAAGCTGCAGGATGTTGTCTGAACCGGATCGGACGGAGTGAGGCGGTCCGGTCCGGCCCGGTTCTGCTGGATTTTAAACTCTTCATAGTTCTGGGAGCCTACTTCTGGACCAGCATGGATCCGGGTCTCTGTGCCTCCGGTCCGGTTCGGTTCTGACCACAGTGAGCCGGACCGAACCGGGATGTTCTGATTTAAACCCGCAGGATTTTACATGTGAGTAAATATTTATTTATTTATTTATTTATTTATTTATTTATTTATTTATTTATTTATTTATTTATTTATTTATTTATTTATTTATTTATTTATTTATTTATGTTTGTATGTTGTTAATGATGTCAGTTTTCTTTACTTTAAAGATGTTTATTCTAGTTCAGGTTCTCAAAACTGGGACCAGGATCCACCATAGATAACAAAATACCAAGTAGGACTGTCTTGAAGTACTTAAATTAAATATAAAATGAATCACAAATACTGTTTGGTCAAATCTGAGGAAAATGTCTTTGTTGTCAGTATGATGTTTAGTTGGTATAGAGATTTTTAATTAATATTATATGTCTTTTCTGTTATTTCACAGGTTCATAGATGACATGTTTAGAAAGCACTGTGAGTAACCTTATATCTGGCAGAGAAAGCCGAGCTGAATCCTGCAGTGCTTAACAGTGAAACAAACTTGTCCACATTCTGCAGCGCTGCATGATGGACATGATAAAACTCCACTAAAAAGTTGATGTTATTCTAAACATATCCTCTTTATGAAAGCATTTCATTTAAAATATTTGTAACTCGTAAAGCTCACATTAAAGTATCTCCAAGTGACTTTTTTATGCCTTTGTGATGATGACACACCATGACCTCTTCTCTCCCCTCAACACACACACACACACACACACACACACACACACACACACACA